CTTCGTCTTCTCTAGTTTCTTTTTTTTTTTTTATGGTTGCTTGGTGATTGGTGAGGGTGAGGGTGATGGTGATGAGAGTGATGATCAGCAAAGGGATGGTGAAGATGCAAGGTGAAAGAACGGAGGTGATGGTGGCGATGGTGGATCTGTAGAAGGGAGAAAAAGTTTTTTTTTTCTGTTTTCTCTTATTTTTTTTCTTTTTTATTTTGTTTGGTAGCCGCACCTCCTCCTTCTCCCTTTAAAAGAGAGGAAACTAGGGTTTTGTTAAATTTGGGTTTTGATGGGCTGCTCAATATTGGGCTGGATTTATGAGTCTATTTTAGTAAATTTCATCCTCAGCTTTTTAATTTTTTCAATTGAGTCTTTTTCTTGTTTTTTTTCTTCAACTTCTCCCCAAAATTTTTCATAAAATTTTTTTATAATGATAAATTCGAAACGGTACGCGAAAAATTTCAATATCCAGTACGTATCGTTTCGGTAACAAAATCGGTACGCATGCCAGTACGGTATTGACTACTTTGGGATAAACCCTAAACTAGTCACGTTAAGGGTGCCTTCATGGAGAGAATGGGCAATGGAAAGCCGATCATCATGATGAAGTAGGCGCTTTGCAAGTTCGACAATGGAGACTAAATGGCCAATTCCCGGCACTGGAATAAAGATCAGCTCTGCTTTCTCCATCACTTTGCTTCTCTATTAGTTTTTTTTCTCAAGATTGTGTAAGTTACGCACCAATTGCATATATATTAAATCAATTTAGCCACTGAGTCCTGGACCAATCTTGTTTGCTTGTTGTTGTAATTAACCAACATGTATATGTTTATATTTCTGAGTCCTCTTTTTGGGTGTTGGTGAAAAGCTTCATCATGGGGCTAGTTATCTCCTTCATCCAGAAGAATAAAGGTAAAGAAACAGAGCATGGGAACACAATGGAGGAAGAAATAACACTGTGCCTTGGATTGGCAACATATATGCAAGTAACTGCACGTGTGCTATTATGCATTATGTCCCAAATAAAAATTTATATAATGGTTTGATATCAATGTTGCATAGTGGGGGAGTATTAGGCCATGCTCTATTCATAGAAAGTTGGTGGGGTAGCTTATAAATCATAGGTTGCCAAAGAACCTAATAGGTTCTCAAGTTGTTTTCATGTATATATGCTTAGAGTTATATTCTGATCTTATTTAAGTGATTGATTCTGCATTGTAATGGAATTATGATGGTTTGTCATATGATGGGCACCTATTTTGTCTTAGATTGCGTGAAGCCATTCAGTACTCTAGATGATCCTAGATTTGAGTTTTGGGGACAAAACTCCTTTTAAGTAGGGATGGATGTAATACCTCAAAATTTTGAGTACTTATATTGGATAATTAATTAATTAATTTATGTATGAGAGGACTAATTTAAAAAGGGGATTTTATTGGGGGACCAAGTTGCCTCATTCTTCAATCTTGGGGATGTTGGCATAAAAAGAAGAAGGAAAAAGAAGAAGGGGGGGTTAGACGACTAGATTAAAGGGGAAGGAAGAACCCAATTCTCTTCTGGGTTTTCTCTCCACTTTTGGGGTTTCTTCTTCTCCTTTATTCCAACTCCAAATCATAATCTATGATGCTTCTTCTTCTCCTAATCAAGAAAATATCAAGATTTGCTGCTATCCATTCCTTGAACGCCCAGTGGTGCTCCTTCTGCAACTTTTTGGTTCTAAATGACCTTAAGCACCTTGACTTATTGAATTCTTTGCTCGTCATATACCTACAAAGCGAGGTAAGTAAAATTATAGTAAATGCCCTTGGATTTCAAGGTAAAGGTTTTAAAAGCATATTTTAAACTGTTTTTTGAAGTGGTGGTTAGATTAAACTCGTTTTACACAGAAACAAGCATGATTGATTTAAAATGAAATTGTTATCATTTATTGATTTGAGCATGCCTACTTGGAGTTTATTAAACTATTCTGATAACTTGAAATTGATTTGTAAATTATGGATTTTCTTGTAATTCTTGCATGGTTTTGTCTCCAATATTGTCATGATTATTAACGCCCGCTAATGGGAGTTTGCAAACGCTAGCACATGTCGACATGTATACCTGTGGGACCTATTCATTATGTAATCCTGTTAGTGGGATAATACATTGGTTATTACTGACACCTGCCAGTGGGAGTTTATTAAATACTAGCCATGATTAATTGGGGAGACCACTACTAAATTTTATTCTGTATTAATGGTTTATCATTAAGATATTTCTTCTAGTTTATGTTTAAATTGTTTATCTAGCATGTTTTAACCTTAATTAAGAACTATCCATATTTTTACTTACTGAGTTATCTCACATAGTTTTTTCTTATTCACCATTTCAGGTAGTGTGACTTGAGACATAGGAAACTAAGGGGAGTAATGAGCTAGAAAGCTAGCCTTTTGCATTTTGGACGTAGTTCATTTTGGAATTTGGCCACTAGATGAATTATTTTGAACTTAAGTAATTTTGGACATAGATTTATTCTGAAATTTTAGAATTTAAGTTATTGGATTATCAAATGTGAATTAAACAAGTTCTAAACCTTTTGTATTTCTGGAATTCTCTCACAAGTGTATAGCGTCTGTTTTGCTCTCGGTTTTGGAGCATGACAGAAGTTCTTGCATTTCTATCTACTCCACTAGACATGGCGGTTGTCGGGAAGCTTCCACAGGGACTCATGAATACTATACGGTAGCTGTGATTTGATTTTTAGTGAAATTCATAGATTATTATAGAAAATTTGTTAATTAATTTCATTTGCAGGTAATTAAAATTTGGGTTTGCTTCAATATGATTGGTTAGCATTGTTTTGTGGTGTTAGCTGTTTAGTTTCTGAGAAAATAAAAGAAAATGTGAAAGAGATAGAAATTTTGTGGTAATTTTGTACAATATATATGAACAAATTAGAATTATGATCTTGCCTTGTTCATCTTTTAGTTGGACTGATTATGATTCTTTGGTTAAGGTTTACAATTGCATTCTGTTTGGATGTATAAATAAGTCAAAAATCTGTGAATGGCTGCAGGATTAAGAATTTAAGAAAATATATTTTATAGAGTGTGCACCTGTCGGGTGTCTGACCGACGGTGCACAAATCATTTCCCTATCATTTAAGACTACTTTGTCCAGCAATTATTTGTTTTTCCTTCTGGAATGCAGTCCCTCTTTGGTGATAGACGCCAGTGTTGCCCAAGAAGGAAAACATGGCATTCAAATATGATGCAAGTTTTCTGCCAAACCATTCCAAGTAGACAACATTCATTAAGGGCTCCAGTCAACATCAGAAAGGAAGAGAAATATTTCGAACCATATATAACAAGAAGTTGGTACCATATCTAACAAAAACTTTTTGAGTTAAAATCCAGTTAGTAATTCTAAGCTCTTCTTTTCACCACTTCACTAACTTTCTGGTAAATCATCTTATCAAATTTGCAGCATTCAGCTAGCCCCCATGTTACTTGCAATGATTTTCCTCTATTTCTTCCAATGATCTGGCAAATTTAATTTCCTGACTGATTTGAATGTTGGCCTTTTTCGTGAAAAGTTCTTGGTTATCTCTGTATTCCAACATGTCATATCAACAATTCCTTGCGGATCTGGAAAAATTTTCCAACTGATTTCAACATCAACACAACTCGCATTCCAGTGGTTTTGAAAACACTGGATTTGGCCCAACTTCTAACAATATTTTGACAGCCATGTGAGTTGTGAAGAGGAGAAAGACACTCGCATTTGAATTCTCAGATCCTCCAGGGATGTCAATTCCAAAAGTTTATTCCCATA